CTCCCCCGGAATGGTCGTGAATCAATGCCTTCAAGTCATCCCAGGCTTTGCCCTGCCTAGGTCTGCAGAAGATTCCCAAAGGCTGCGGGCCCACATTGTGAGCCGTAGTCACGGCAGTAATTGGAATGGGCTGTTACTCACGCTTCCGTCCGCGGGCAACAGAGGAATGGGTCAACTTCAGAGGAGTCTGGTTCTAATACGACTCACGGCTTCAGAGGTTTTCAGTCGATATTTGATCGTGGCTTGCTTTCAGTCACGGGATAAAGTGACGCAGTATGGCGGAGACACACGCAGGGCAGCAAAGCTCACCACTGCATGGTAGTGACGAGAAGAAACAGGAAGGGGCCGGGGTCAGTGTCTCCCCAGTATCCTCGGGGGGCCTGGCTTTCCGCTAGGCCCAGTTTAAAAGGCCTACCATGTAAGCGCCTCCTCACCACGAAGGCCTTTAGGGAGCACTCAAAACCCAGCCCTGCAAGTGACACAAGTGACTCCTGCACCTGAGGCTCCCTGTGGGCAGACTCTGCCAGGGACCTGCTTCCAGGACGCTCCCGAGTCACGTGAACAGAGGCACTCAGCTGACCGCGCAGGCGGTGACAGCCCCGCCAGCAGTGAGGACTCTTCATCACTCTTGTCCTCCCCTACCCCGAGGGAGCCACACTACATCTAGACTGAGCTGACCCCAGGTCCAGCCAGCTACCCCAAGCTTGCCTCCCGGCCCACACTTTCTTGGCCACCTCCAGCCCAGCTTTCTGCTTCCTGTAAGTCTGACTGTAACGCCACCTTCGTAAGTGCAGTGTTTTCAAAACGACTTCACCCAAAACAACGGAAAATGCCCCCAGTAAAGCCAGAAGTCAGGTTTGTCTGTGACATTTGTTTTACAGTTGGATCTGGTGACTCCCAGCTTACAAATGAAGCAGGCCAACAGACAAGCGGTATTCAGGTGTCCTGCGATTAAAATGCAACAGAGTCTAGGCTCTCGGCTGGTACGGAGTCACCTGTCTCCGCTGAAGACTGTGTCGAACAAGGACGAATGTCTGGCCAAGGAAGCTTAGCTTGAACTCGCATGTAGTCTGGGTTTTGTCCTGTTCAGAGTCACAGTGAAAACTGCCAACTGCAGCATCTTTCAAAAATAGTCACAGGTTCTCACTCCAAGAACTTAATATGAAGCAAAGAAGAAAGTGAAAGAATTTAAGAATACCGTTTTCACTTATTACATTTCTAGGTAATGTCATTATCCTGACCTTGTGGTAACCAGGATTTTTGTCAAAGATTGGATATTTACTTCCATTTAAGAAGTAGGCATTTCTTAACAAAGGGCCTGCTACTGAATGATACAGCTTTGTCTCCACCTGCAGGAAGGAAAAGAATTATTTCTTGGTTGTAATTCATAAAGCCTCAAAGACTCGTTATAAATGAAGTATAATCAGTAACTCATAATTTACTCAGTCATTTTCCCATCATAAAGTAATTATTGGATCAATGGAGGGTTAGTCAAAAGAAATATCTAATTGGTGTCAACCATTGCGCTTCATTTATAACTTAAAAAAAATTGTGTATGGGAATTTTCCTGCATGTATGTCTGTGCACACGTGCATGTAGTACCAGTGGAGCCCAGAAGAGGGCGCTGGATCTTCTGGAACTGATTTGTAGATAGTTGTTAGTTAGCAGCTTTGTGAAAGCTGGGACCTGACCCCTAGTCCTCTGCAAAAGTAGTAAGTACCCAGCCATTTCTCCAGCTCCTTATTTTTAACTCTTTAATTGAAGTCTATTATACATATAGAAATGTCCAGCTATCAATGCACAGCTTGATGAATGACCACAAATGGCCACAGCTGTGTAACTGTCACCCACAGCTAGACTATGAAACCATTCGGGAAACTCATGCTCTGCGCTTACTTTTGAATAAAGAACCAAACCGTTAATTCTTTACCAAACCATCAGTCATACCGCAGGAGAAAGGACAGTGAGAGGTAGGTGAGAGGCTGTAGGATGTGGTTTTGTCCCTCAGCACCATGGTCCGGGAGCTGCCCCTGAAAAACCTGCTTCAGGTTTGGGTTAGTGTCAGCCTTCTACGGCTCCCTGCTGTGGCTTCAGACTCTCAGCTTGGGCTTTTGTTCCAGTCTGGGTCTAACTTCATCTTCGATTACAGGAGGTGTTCCATAGGACTCATCCCTACGAAAACCGAACAGCACCTGAGTTTTTCCTCCCTGGATGCATTCCCTAAGGATTTCTCGAGGAACCACGGCTCACAGTATTTAGGGAGGAGTCTTGTCTGACCAAGACGAGAGTGAGGTACCGACAGGTTCCCTCCATCTTCTGGGCAGAAACTAACATTCTGCACCCACATCAAACAAGCGGTCGGGATCCTCTGTATACGGCCCGAAATGTAACTGCCAACCAAAATAGTTCTGCAGCTGTTGTTAGGTTACCTGAAGCCTCTGCGGCAAAGCAGCTTGTGACTATTATAGTTTCAGGGAGCTTCTCGGGTTTCTTTTGTTTCAGACAAAGAACTGCAGTTGGACCCTGTCCTGGTTTGGAAAGAAATCGACAGAGCTCTTCTTTAACCACGAGTCAAGACCGACAGAGTGTCTAGTCACACAACACGCTGCCAGCGCTTACACTTTTCTGTAGAGAATAGCCGATAACCATCCCCCCTTAACTGACATCTGTGGCTGCTAGTTTTCTAATCACAAAGTCTCTTTCCAGGACGAGATTTAGAATCAGTTGAAGATTCCATCTCCACCCACTGGTCCATTCGGAGAAAAAACAACTTCACCTGTTGATGCTGCAAACTCAGGAAAAGGGACACAAGCGAGTAGGAGGAGAAAGACAATGCAAAACTCAGCAAATATGCTACAGGGTTGCTGCCCTCCCCCCCCCCCCACTTGAAAATGTCTTATTAAAATCACTCGTTAGACATCCCTAATACCGGACGGTTCTTGTTAAAGTTATCAGAAAAAAATACAAGTGGATTCTTTTCAGCCAGGGTTAAGTCCATCTCCCACGGGGAGGCTGCCAGGTGCTTTTGGTATCAGGGACATAATAGCTCCTCTAGCGCTCACACATTGTGGGCACGCTTTAGCTATTCAAAACCAGATGGAGGAAATCGAGGAGTGGGGAGGGGAGGGATGGAGCTTAGAGAATGAATAAAAAAGACAAAATGGCCCCAGACTCTTCGCTACGGCTCTTCGTGGGTTGAAAGCCCACATTGTGTGAAGCAGTAAATGCTATTCAGCATCATGAACTGCACCAAAAGTGCAAAACTGCCCTCCTCTAGCCGGCCAGTTTCTCATATGACCAAAAAAGCCCTTTTCGTTAACTACTGTGGTTCTTTGTCCTATGGCCCACAGTCATTTCATATTCTCAGGGAAACATAATTTTTTTAAAACTTTCTCTAACTTGTCAACTGATTTTGCACAGTCCAATGAACAGAGATGAATTCTCAGACCTAATTTGATTAATAATAAAAAAAAGTTCTCCAGCCAGCCTGCTCTTAAGTGTCCATTTATTCTATGAGAGAGTCCCCCCTTCCTTCCCTTCTCTAAAACAGGTCCCCTCTGGGTTCCTGTCCCCACTCCCACCCTCCCCTTCACCTCTGTCTACTTTGCTTGGATAAGAGCCTCACAATGAATAGGCAACATTTTCAAGAAAAGGGGGAGGGCTGAGGAAGTGTTAGAGGCCAAACGGAGCCCTTGGAGGAAAAGGAATTCAACGAGTGATATAACTCAATGGCATTCACTGTTGCAGACAGCAATGAACTTTTTACTTAGCCGGTAGCAGTTCATTTCTGTCCTCCACTCATTTGAGACCATTTTCCAAGAAGAAAAGAAAGCCATGTGGTTCTCAGCATCATCTCGACACAGTGCAGAAGGCCTCTGCCTTTTCTGCTAGACCTTTGTGCTGGGCATGTACAAACTCCTCTCTTTGTCTCCCCGCCTGCTTCCTTGCATGGCATTCTTTTGTATGAGCAAACGGGGAAAAGTTGGATGTTTTGCCACCCATTTGGAAAAGTAAAGTTTGCCTGGAAAATAATATGTGTGCCATAACTTGGTGTAATCTTTCATGTGCGAATGTTCTTAGGTTTCCCTAAATAACAGAACACAACATGAAACACCCGAACATCTATCTCAAAGCTGGCTGAAAGTCTAATGCCCTAAGAAACTGCAGGTCTCTTTTGTTTCTTCTGTGTTAATACAGATGCCTGATGAGTAATAGTAATTTTCACTTGCCATGTTACTTTCTGTAAATTACTTCATTTCAGACAAAAGGTATGTTTCCTTCAGGAAGAAACATATCTTCCAGGACACACGTGCTATCGGGTGACATTTACGGTCCCTCGTGGTCCTGGCTTTCCTTGCTTGTTATGCCTCTCAAATCAATGTTCTTTTACATTTCTTTTGATTAGATACGTGGGGTGGGGTATCTGAAATCCCTGTCTTGTGTTTGCAGGACCACTTGCTGATGCGAGGGTTATATCTGGGAGAAACAAATCCTCATTTGGATTTCTGGTGTGAACTTGCTGCCTTTGTAAGTCCAAAATTAGAAGCTCTCATCATTCAGCTTACTGCGATATTCCTGGAATATCGCATGCACTTTTACCACAGGAGATGAACCGGTGTCTCCGAGATCTGACACAGTTATAAACTTATATGTACCTCGGCCGCCTGAAGGTTTACTCCAAATCAGGAAATAGTGAGACTTTTCGTGGCTCCTGCTGAGTAAATGGTTGTTAATTTGACTTAATGGAGGATGAGATCTATATAGATAATTTGCATACTAGATTCTTGAACATTCTTACTATATTTATTCATGATAGTTCAGTTATTAGAAGTTAAACCAAAATGCCCCCCCCCCTTTTTAATGACATCAGAGACACACTTTAAGGTGACTTCAGGTCAAACTTCCAGAGAGGCTCTGCTCTGATGAAATCACAGGAAGCATCTGAAAGAGTCTATTCAGGGCTCCTGGAGTCTCCTGGAGGCATCAGCTGACATTCATACCTCTGATTTCCGCAGGACCCCTGGGCTCCATCTGTGCCCCTCACCTCCACTCTGTTGAATCTGAGAAGTCACAGCCTGGAGGCACTTTGCCAGTCTACTTCCTCTAGTGGGCAAGAAAAATAACAAGATTTACAAAGAAGAATGTGTGCTATCTGGCCCGACTCCCCAGACCAGGCAAGAACAGTGCTCTGGTTCATGGAACTCCAAAAGGACCCCATGGAGATTAGCTTGCTTATGTAATAGGGGCGAGCAGTCTGCACCTCCATGTCAAAGAGGGCAACATAAGAGGTCCAGAACAGAATTAATAACCAGCAAAACTGATAATATTTATTAATCACTTAGACATATGCCCTGTATTATGTTAAGGTCCTGACAGTAAATTCTTTTTTTTTCTTTATAAGGCAGGTGTTAGTGCCATTTCTGTCTTACAAGTGGAAAAACTATGGCTCCAAGATTAAAATGAATCACAATGGTCAAATAACATGATGATTCATATGCATGCAAATGCTTGGAAACACCTTCCAAACTTGAAGTATAATTCTACTGTCTTTGAGCTAGTGGTAGAGACCAAAAAAAGAAAGAGCAGAGTACCACCTGAGTGATGGTGGAGTTCAAGACATTTCTCCCATGTTAACTGGCTCTGTCATGGATTTCTCCCTTTCAGGGATGCACACAGCTTTTGAAGTGCCGCATCCAAGTCACCAGTACACAGGGTTTGAAGGCAGACCATTACCTTCTACCATCCTGCCCTTCCCGGTAGCAGAGGAGATCCTCTTAGGATCCGCAGCTCTGACAATCAGCGCACACTCGATAAATATTTCATCTAAGCTTCAGAAAAGTATGATCTATTTCTAGAGCCCCAGCAGTCCATTGACAGCAACATCCATAGCAGCTGGCCAGGACCACTCCTTTCCTCGGATGTTGAATTAATGCTGGCTGAGACCTTTAGCCTAAGCCTTCCTTTCAAGGCTCCAGACAACGTTACCATTATGTACAGCACATAACTCCAAGTAGGGCTGTGACATCATTAATCAGCTTCTCTTCTGGGCCAGTTCTGACCTGAGGATGCACCACAGATGCCTTAAATACATTGGATATAATGTCAACCTACAGGCCTTAAATATGAACTACCTTACATCATCTCTCACTTTTGAGCTAGGAGTAACATAGAAACAATTCACCTCCTTGGCTGAACTTCTCTGGCAAATGGCTATTCCCCTTGAGAATTGTCAGGACTCAGCTTTCAGAATGTTGACTCTGCGGCCATGTTATGTATGTATGTATGTATGTATTTCTTTATTTGCTGCCATCTTATTAATAGGATTGATTTTTATGTCAGCACTGGGCTGAATCAGTGCTAGCACTTGACGCTCCCCTACACATGAAGTTTGGAGTGTGTTTAGTCTTCCTTAGAAAGTCTTAAACAATTTTTCAACAAGTAACCGTTATTTGACTCAATCCCAAAGACTATATAAACTATGCTTTCTTCATTACCTACTTCTTGGGTTCCAAGATACCTAATACATATTCTGTTCAGGGATTCAGAAAGTCCATGGTAAAATACTTCCTAAGTACTTAGAGCCAAAGGAGAATGGGAGCATGTTGAGATTTTCATCACAGGGGCAAATACTCAAGACGAACATTTTAAAGCAGGAGGGATTGACGTGAGTCATGTTTTCAGTGGTCATAGGCCATGGTTGGATGGTTGTGTTGTTTCTGGGTGGTAAAGTAAAAAGAACATCATGGCTGAAATGTGTTGAAAAGAGAAGCTCCCCACTCCATGGTGGCTAGGGAACAGAGGGCCAGGCTCAGGCCAGGGCAAGGACAGCTTCAGGGGCACATTCTCAGCTAGGTCTGGCCTCCTACAGTTTCTGGCACATCCTCAGACAGGGCCACCAACTGTAGACCAAACCTTTAGCACGTAAGCCAGCAGGGAAATTCCATATTTAAACTGGGGCCACTGACCTTAACGATATGCAAAAGAGAGTGAGGAAGTGTTAACTTGGTGCTAACATTTCAACGTGTTTCATCTTCTGAAGGGCAGACGCCACCAAGTCTTCACTTGTCACCTCTCCCTCGCAGCCATGTGGCTCCTCCTCCACCCTGAGCAGAGTTAGCGTCCCCTAAGTAACACAACACTTTTCACCCCTCACCCTGGCCTCGCTTACCTCCCAACAGCTTCCACGGTGTCCACTGTGATAACACCTGACAAACACCCCTTCCAGCTTCACAAACCCTTCTACATTGGTCAGTCTTACTCTTTAAGGATTCAGCTAAGCGGCCACCCAATTTGGTGTATCCCTCATACCTAGCCTCACCTCTCTGCTCTTGGACCTTGTCATTGCATGCCCTAGTATTATTCTACAGCAGCACATGCTCTGTCCATGCTGGTCTGGCAGCCTCAGTTGAATGCTTCCTTACCCTGTAGGCCATAAACTCATAGATCTCGTCAGACACATTTCTCTGTGCCATAGATCGCAGTCAATGCAGGCACTCATAACTGGTCAAGGTAGAGAGGAAAGGTGTAAGGACGATCAGCCTCAAGTGGGACACCTGTGTGACACCCCTCCCTCCAAGGCTCAGGACCACTGTGGAGGATGGACGGGCAGCTTGTAAGAGCCAGAGGCTGGGGACAGTGACAATGAAATGGTGTCTTCTAGACAGGCCAGGACTGCTGCACTAGTGAACTCATAACGTCACAACTGACGTTGGCTACATAATGCCTGCACAATCCAGTCAACATTCCGGCACAGACGAGGAGAGGCTCCTGAACCTCAACTCTCAGGTGAGGGGCTGTGGCTAGCCGATGGCTTCTGAGGGAGGGAGACTACGTTCTCTCTAACAGTGTGGACCTTGGTGGGCTGTTTCTGTGGATGGCCACACACCCACACTCTGTACGTGCCGTACAGGATGGACTCTGTACGGGCTGTACAGGATGGACTCGGTGGGTGATTTAACAGAGGAGGGGACATGAAGTTGGGAAGTAGTGTGGAGGTGGGGATAGTAGTGGGAGGAGCTAGGGGAGGAGTAACAGTGAGTATAGTCAAAACACACCATATGCATCGTGAAACTCTCAAGGAGCTAATAAACACACACACACACACACACACACACACACATAATCATGTTTTCAGTGTCTTCTCCTACCACTTGACACAGTACTTGCTTTTGGCTTTTGCTGCTGTTAGTCTGTAGTTGAATAAAGCAAGGCAAATATGGCAAGCCTTCCCAGCAGCCAGGGAGTCCTTGCTAAGAAAGTGGCAAAGTCCCTCGAATCCATCACTAAAGACTAGGCCAGACAGCCCACCAGACAGACGCAAGACCAACCGGCAGACCTGCCTGGGTTGGGAGCTTGAATCTTCGGTTTCTCAGACTGCTTCGTAAAGTATTATAGCAGATCCACGAAACACCCCTTACATCTCTCCCCCTTTGCTCTCTTCGGCCCCTCCCCACCAAGGGCAAAGTGTATGGCATCCGTTTTACAGTTCTAAAATTACTAAGCCAGTGACTTTGCAAAAGCAGAGCGGTTTGTATCCAACAACACTGGGAAGACCGAGGAGGCCATTTTATTGGAAACTCATCTTTTTGACATGCCTTCATGGTTTTTATTGGGTCTATTTTGAAAACAGGGCAGAATGCTTCCAGCTATGCGTTGATTTGTCCTTTGAACAAAATTGGTCGGAATAAATTTTCTTGAAAGAACGGCCACACGCAGCATACAAGCTGTACTTTGTTCCCCTTGCCTCCTGCTGCCCCCTCTTCCTCCTCCCTCCTCTGCCTATGTTCAACTAACAGTTCCTAGAATTGAAGCCGAACACTAAAAGAGCTGATATTACTGCTCTCCTGTAGTTGATTTTTTTAAAGGCTTTAAAAATACAGCCATTTCCCCCAATTCTCTGAATTTTGCCTAGAAAACATCCTTCAGAGATACCTCTCGAAAGATGATTTTAGAATATTGGTATTGCTTGCTTTAGTTGCCTGCTGGGTGCTTTAGATTGCCTTACTGTTGTCCTAAATACTGTAATGGCAAAATAATGAGTAAATGGTTAGGGTTTTGCACACCACATGAGCAGGAATGCAGGATGTGAGAAGACAAAGGAAAAAGGCATCCTGAGGAAAGACTGGTGTATTGATGAGGAAACCAAGTCCCGGGGGTGGAGTCAGGCAGAAGTCTACTCCAGATGTGCTCATTCTCCACAGAGAACCTTTCCCACCGTTCCTAGAATCCAGTAGAGACAATAGAGCTGTTGTATTTTATTTTCTCTAATCCATTCCAAGCAACGTAACAGTAATAAAAATGTGAACAACTAACATCCAGTGAGCCCTCGTTTTGTGAACTGAGCTGTTCAATAATTTTTATGTCTTAATCAATTGGAGTCACAACATCATTATCTCTGCCTCACCAACAGAGAGCTGTGCTACCCTTCCAAACTAATCTAAAAGAAGTGGCAGGTGACAGGCATGGGACTCCAGAGCCCAGATACCCACGCAGTATAACAAATGGCCTCTTGTAAATCGGGCTTCTCTCCTGGGTAATGAGAGTATAGAAATGCCACCTCCCCACGCCTGAGAGCTAATGTTCTGAAATTATTGTCACAGCTTTGCATCATCAGGATATCTCATTAATAATGAATTTCCAAGCCCCCTCCCGTGGAATTATCTCCATACAATAACATTACTTTCATAATGATGTACAGATATGAACATTGCCACTATTTTACTATTTTGCGGACTATCTTGATATAAAAAAACTATTAAAAGTTTGCCTCAAACTAGTGATAATTATAAACAAGACCAGCTGCCACACTGTATAAAAATACATGGGAGTGAAAAGAAATTTTATAATATCCCAACTCACTGACCATACCTGTGGGGCATTATATAAATTGTATCAAACCTAAATATAGTTCTCTTTTTCACCCAAAATACAATTTAATGGGTATCTGATATTCTGTTCTAAACAACAGAAACAATTGGCCTGAAGCATCTTTCCAGTGGCAGAGAGAAGGCTTCATAAAGCCTGAAGATCACATGCAGTTTAGGAAACAAGAGCTGCTATGGAAGACAATGAAAGCCATGACTAAGGTTTCTTTCTAAAGACAT